GCTGATATAAAATCTGAGGAAATCCTGTACAGCTAAATCCAGTCTGGCTTAGTGGTTAAGGCACCAGGCTAGAAACTGGGAGACTGTGAATTCTAGTCCTATTAGGCATGAAATCCAATTGGGTGGCTTTGGGCCAATCCCCAGGAGACAGTGAGTTCTAGTCCTGCCTTAGGCATGAAAGCTGGTTGGGTGACTTTGAGAAAATCACCAGAAGATGGTGAGTTCTACTCCTGCCTTAGCCATGAAAGCCATCTTAGTGATTTTGGAACAATCACCAGGTGATGGTGAGTTCTAGTCCTGCCTTAGCCATGAAAGCCATCTTGGTGACTTTGGGACAATCACCAGGAGACGGTGAGTTCTAGTCCTACATTAGTCATGAAAGCCAGCCAGGTGACTTTGTGTCAGTCCCTCTCTCTCAGCCCAAGCCAGCTCACAGGGTTGTCATTGTTGCGTGGAAAGTAGGAGGAAGAAGGAGTATTAGGTACGTTCTCTGCTTTGAATTGTTTATCAAAATAATAATAATAATAATAACAAAGGCGCGATGTAAATAAAATACTAAAAACAAAGTCTTACAAAGGAGAAGGCAGATTCAATAACTGCCCTCAAAGCCATATAAGCCCATTGATCACCTCGTGGGACAAAGGAAGTTACAACAACACTGAAAACATGCTGAATTTAGATGTTTGGCAATGGGATGCATTTACAACAGTTGCAGCTTCCCTTGCATTCTGGGAGTAGAAGTCCACAACTCTTAAAAGTTGCCACGGTTGAGAAACAAATGGCCGGGGATGATGTAGGAACCCAGCCGGCAATTGTCAGTGGATTACTGAAATATAATTTTATTAAACCTGTTGAATAAATTTCGGCTTAAAGCCTATTTGATGACTTGTCTCTGTTTCCATTCGTTGTTTTTGCACTGATCTTAACCCTGCGCCGTTTGCAAGGTTCAATTCATCCGTGCAGTCATCAACATCTAGGGAAAGAGTGAAGCCTGAATTTTGGAAATTCCCTGTTTGTTTCTTGGCTGCCGTTCGTTGGCAGAGAGAAAGTGGCAGGAACTCTGTCAGACTGGCTCAAATCAAAGGAAATTAGGAAGTCAACAAGGATGACATTTGTTCCTTAGCCCACTTCTGCTGTTATTCCCAACAATACTAATTCAGAGGGGGGAAAATGATTTTGGAGGTCTTTAACAGATGCCAATGAGTTGCTCTGAACATATTGTCTGGAAACTAGGTTTTGTGATGCTGGGTACATGAATCGGGGTTTAATTCCTGGGGCCAAATTGCTGGTTTCTCTCTAAGTAGAAAGCTGCAATTCCACGTTTGTTTGCATCCGAGGAAAAATAACAAACTGGATTTGGGTTATGCTCAAGAATTAGCCAGGAGAAAGGGGAAGAGACATTGAATTTCTCAACAAAAGTACGACTACTATGGAGCAATTTTTCCTGCTATTAAAAACATGCAGGTAGAAAGGAAAACAAGATTTGTAGAAGTTGCTAGACTCGCTTTGGTGTCAACAGTCAAGAGAAATGAAATAAAATGCTCAATTGTCCTATGTTGATCTTTTCTGTGCCAAACCTGATGGAGAGGCATCCTGTAATGGTTTGGTCAAAAATTAATTGACGGAATTGGGCATTTTTGACTTGCAAATACAATATCTATTTCCTATTATATGTCTTTTGATCTTGGTTGGTTGGTTGGCTGGTTTGCTGTTAGTGGCTTTGCAATTAAGGGGCTTCCCAAACTGTAACAACCCGAAATTGTGATTCTTCTGCACAGCAACACCTACCCCCATATTTCTCTCAATGTCATCTCTGTCCTCCCGGTTGCTGCCCTTACTTACATTTGCAATTCTATGAATTCAGACGTCCTTTAGAACTACTGGATTACTTTGCACAAATGCCTGTGATGTTAGAGAAGGGCAGTCCTCTGTCCATCTTGGCCATCAAATAAAAGGAAAGGAGATAAGTGAGCCAATAATAATAATTCTGGAGTTGGAAGAGTTGGGATTAAAGCAATTTTTCTCCATAGTCCTAGTGACCTCTAGTGGACGAGGCTAGATTTACATCCTGCTGCTTTTCAGCGGCATAACACAATGTTTCTCAACCTTAACAACTTTTAAGATGTGTGGATTTCAGCACCCAGAGTCCCCCAGTCAGCATCTCTGGATCTTAACTGCCAGAATTCCCCAGCCAGCATCTCTGGATCTTAACTCCCAGAATTCCCCAATCAGTCCCAGCCAATTTCTGCTGCTAAGCAAGGTGTTCGTCCAGTAAGTCACGTCCAATTTTTACCTGTTTGTTTTTGTCACAGCTGTTATGCAAACCACTGCAGTCGTTAAATGAGTCACACAGGCGTTAAGCAAGTCTCGCTTTCCCCATCGACTTTGCTTGTTGAAAGTCAACTGGGAAAGTCGCAAATGGCGATCATGGGTCCCCCGGGATGCTGCAACAAATGTCATAAATACAGGCCAGTCGCCCAGAGCCTGAATTTCGAACACATGACCACAGTTTTAAGGGCGAGGAGTAGTCGCAGGACAAATTTTCAATGCTGTTGTAATTCCGAATGGTCCTTAAACAAATGGCTGTAAGTCAAGGACTATTTGTATGTCCCACATATTATGGTTAGCTAGAACTTCACTTCTATGCATCACGCATCTCCTTTCCTAGCCACCGTGCTGCAATTTGGCATCTGAGTGGCTGAAAACAGCCATCCTCTTATCCAACTTTTGAGCCACAAAACACCCCCATCTGAGGGCACCCCTCCTTCAAATAAGCTAAACCTGGTCAGAAGCCCAAAGGTTATTAACTACGTTTTTGGGGTGTTTCCATAACTGCGAGAACAGGAAACAATTCAACAGACTTAAAGCCCAACTGCAAAGCGATAGGATTGTCAGTTCCATTCTACAAACTCCCAGCAAGAAAAACGTCTTTTTAAAAAAAAAAAAAAAAAGTGGGTTCGAAAGACCACCTTAAGTCTTAAGACGTTTTGCATCTTTTGCGCAGAGGGAAGAAAAAGAACCCTGGAAACGATTCCTCAGCTGCTAAGACAGGTAGCAAATTTTGCTGAGGCGGGCAAAATGCCGTCTGCTCCAGCTGGTGCAAAGAGGAAGAGGAGGTTCACGAGTGGCATCTGATTTATTCTATGAGAATGGCTTCGCGTTCTCTCCCTTCCTCTTCCTCTTCCTCCTTCCCTCCAACATTTCAAGCTGTCTATCTTTTGTCCCTCTAGGATGGCTTCCTTGTTCTCCCAGCCCGTCTTGAGTTCCTGGGAGAATGCTCAACCCCTTGCCAGATCTATCAGGAAAAAAGTTAAGTCAAGTCCCAGAATCCTGGATCTCACCTGGATCTCATCTTGCTAATATTATTATTATTTTTTATTATTATTTAGATTTATATCCCGCCCTTCTCCTCGTAGGACTCAGGGCGGCTGACAATCAATTAAAATACATAAATGACAATACAGGTTTAAAATTAATTAAAAGAAATATTAAAGATTGTCCAATTTAAAATATTGATTAAAACCCCTTTAAAAATTACCCTAGGCCAGTCCTGCGAGCTGGAACAACCACGTCTTGAGGGCGCGGCGGAAGGAAGGGAGATCAGGGATGACCCTGATCTCTGGGGGCAGTTCGTTCCAGAGGGTGGGAGCTCCCACAGAGAAGGCCCTCCCCCTTGGGGTCGCCAGCCGGCACTGTCTGGCCGACGGCACCCTGAGGAGACCCACTCTATGGGAGCGTACAGGTCGATGGGAGGTAATCTGCGGCAGGAGGCGGTCTCGAAGGTATGTTATATGCTGCCCATCAGTCATCACTGGAATGGGCAGCTATCGAAATGAAATCAATAAATAGGATTGCCTCCTCTAAACAAAACTCAGCTAAACAAAACTCCTCTAAACAAAACTCAGCTAAACAAAACTCAGCTGAGTTTCCCACTCGAGAGAGAAATAATTTTAAAAACTACAGTAAAACAAAACAAAAAATATCCATCAATAGGAGCCAGCTGAATGTTGATGTCCCTCTCTGGCCGTTTTGGCTGACCTTTGAAAAGAGATTCCTAAAGCATGCCTACTTTCAACTATCCCTTTAAATAAATCACAAAAATTGGAATTTACCCGAACCTCGAGAATCTTTTTATTGCTCTCACTTCTTTCTTACAGTTTAAATAAATCAGGCCATTCGCCATAAAATGGCCTGAAAGCTCTTTCCTATTTTAGTTCTTTGAGGCAACCATAAAAATGCCTTGAATAGATTTGTTTTGGGGATCTACTGTTGATGAACCGTATCATGGAAAGATTTGCCTGCACAGCTGCTGTCCTCCAGTGGAGAAGCTCATTCCTTCCGAAATATATTCAGAGTACAAATGGTGCACAGTTTGGGTGAAATAGAGAAACTCCGGGAAACTAGAAAAACAGCTTCCCAGGAAAATTAGCTAGTCAAAACCATGTGGAAGGAAGGACATCAGAATAACCTCAATAGATCTGGAACAAGACCACGGACATTCTGTTTCTCTGGATAGCCAGATGTTTCTTCAAAACAATAGGAGGAAAGGGAGAACTTGGGAGCGGAATCAAGAGAGGACCCAGCCTAGAATCAGTACGTACACACAAATGTTCCAAATCCAACATTAATTCTTATCTAGCGCCCATTTAGTGTTGACCGTTAGTTGACTAGATCCTTGTGTATAGACATGAGCAATCAATCATCTTAACTGGAGTTTAACATGGGGTCTTGATTCTTTGCACCTGACAAAAACCTAAAAAGAAGGACCACCACTGGCTCCCCGGTGATGCGATTCAGATTTCCCATCCTGGTCCCTCCAGGTATTGGGGGCATCTGCCAGAATTCCCAACTAGCATGTTCCTTGGTCTCCAAGAGAAAATGCAGAGAACTACACTTAGATCACTTAATCACTTGGAATTTCTTTTCTACCTTCTTTCTATTATTGTTATTTTCTCCAGAACTATTTGACACACACGAGGAGATTTCTTTTAATGAATATATTTTATATTTGATATAAAAACGGTCATTCCTGGAGGCTTCTTTGTGTATAACACAAAGCAGGACATATACACAAGCCACGTAGCAGTCAATTCCTTCGCGGAGCTTCATCGAATTGAAGTTGATTACAATTTCAAATAATCGGTTACGTTACAAAGCTTGGGGATGGGGAATCCATGTGGGACTTCGCTGTACTGGTTGTGATCTTCGTTGGGGTCGCTTTTTTCAAAATACAGTTCTCCCCCGTGGATGTCCTTCACATCGATTGTGAAATTGTTGGGATTAAACCCAAACCAGACAGTACACCTGTAATCGGCTGTACGAACGGAATAGCCCATGACTCTTATGTCTTGAAGCAATGGCAAATCAGAATTCGGTGCAGGGACGTCTCCAGGACGGGGATACTGGCTGAAGGCAACCGGGGTTTCATTCTGTGTGCGGCCATGGTTCTCCTGTCCTCCACTGGAGAATGGGAAATACTGGACCAAGCTCTTCCCTTCGCTACAAAGAGGGACGTGAAAGGAAGGGTGAGGACACGGAGGAGGAACGGTCAGTCCAGCCAGTTCTGCAAGCGTTGGGAACAGAGACACCAACTCAACCATTTCTTTAGGTTTTCCTGGAGTGGGATAGGAGAAAAGTTAGAGTAGAGTGTCAGGTCCAAGAACGACACCTGGAGTTACTTCTGAGTAGTCTCCTTTATTGTTCCTCACCCACGGAGAGAAATCGTGCCAAACTAAAGAAAGTACTCGCATCGCCAAAGATACATTCACTAGGCAGGAGACTTCTTAACTCGCTTCCTCCCTACCAAGTTATCTAAGCTACGCTGTCTCTTGGCCCCACCTGGAATTCAACCCTTCGCTCCTGGGATCCAGACTCCGTTCCACTCCAGGCAGAAGAACGGCAAAGGCAATTAATAGATGACCATTGCCCAGGAATCCAGCCAAGATGGAAATACATTGGAACTTAAGTGGAATCCTTGAGTTGAGTTCATTGAAATGAATCAAGGATAACCAACAGCTGGTTGACCAACTTGAGTCTAATTCAAGGAATTGGTTCCCCTGTCAAATAGTCTTTATCTTTAAGACTCACTTTTCTCCCAACCTTCAATCAGAATTGGTCCTCCTGCAACCTGCATCCATTCTTCTGTGTCCGGTATTATGTGTTTTAGGCCAAACAGAATGTGAGTTCTATTGATGCCCAGCCTTGACAAAGCAGAGCCATTCTGTGGCTATTTGCAATTATAAATGAACTGAAGCTAGGGAACGTAAAAGAAAGGCATCTACTTTCAGGGTTTTTTCCCCAGAACGGCTTACAAAACCAAAAGCAGCCTGGCAGAATTTTCATGCTAAAATATATATTGGCGTTAAATTATTATTATTATTATTAATTATTATTAAATAAAATCTAACAAGAAAAAAGCAGGGAAGACCTAATTGAATCAGAAATAAAAGGTTGCACAGTTAATGCTGGATTTTTTTACCTGGAAGCCCAGATGGGAGATCTTGAGCAAAGGGGTCAATGAATGGGAAAACTTTCTGTCCTGGATCAGAGCTCGGAGTTGTTACTCCTGGCACGTAGAACATGAGCGGCACTTGTGTGGCTATGTTAAAGTTGCTGTATTTCGCCCACTCGCCATGTTCACCCAGGGACCAGCCTAAATGAAATCAAGAACCATGAGGAGAGACAGCATTGAGAGCAGTCCTGTGGGTCCATCCAGGGAAAAAGAAGAAGAAGAAGAATCAAGAATTGAGTATAATACCTTGATTAGGATCAATCACAAAGATATCAAAGAACCACCGAGCTTTTAAAAGCTCCAAAAGTCTTCCGTCAGTCTTAGAACAAAGTAGGAGATGATGTTGGAAAGAGACTGGCTGAATTGAGGAGTCAAGCAAAGAATTAGTCTGGAAACATTACGTAGGCATAAGAGGGCAAGTTCCACCCTTCTCAAATGCCATTAAACTTTATCTAGTCCTTCCCAGCTGCAAACTGCCAATCTGGGAAGATTCCTGTGAAATAGGCATTAAGCAATAAAGTTGCTATTTTATACTCTACGCATGTGTTTTGCTTTTTCACACCTGATGGGTACAGAAAGAGCAATGAGGGGCAAACATGGTGCGTCTGATGCTACAGCCATCACTTTAGCTGCCTCAATAAAGATTGTAAATGATATTTGTAGACTGAATGCAAGGACAAAAGACACTGTGTCCGTCTTACGCGTGAGCAAGTCTCGACAAAGCAGTGACGCAGCAAAGCAGATCTAACTAATACAGATTTGCAGTACTCTCTCTTTCCCTAGTTGGACTTCACTTCCTTGTTCAGCCAGCTGGGGATTATGAGTGCTGTAGTCCTGATTAGTATGATTCCTCCCCACGTATTTAATAATTTAATAATTTCATCTCTAGAGCTCTTGGCAGGGGGCAACCAAGGCTTCTGGGAGGCAGTATTGTCTTGGAGTCCACATAGCTCAGGGTTTCCCAAACGGGGCAACTTTTAAGATGAATGGACTTCAACTCCCAGAATTCCCCAGCCTGCTGGGCAGTTGATGTTCGTGAGTCTTAAAGGTATCAAGGTTGGGAAACCCTGACATAACTCATTGCAATGGATAGCCCATTGCGTACGAGCTGGTTCACGGAGCAGGCTGATCTTGACGCAAGAACTAAAATTCCTTACGTTCAAGAACCGTCTCCAGAAAACGAAGCTGTGGCATTTGCAACTGGTCTCCAAGCCACACGGGCGTCTTACCGTGATCTGCGGTGAAAACCACCATCGTGTTGTGAGACAGCTCCGTCTCATCCAGGGCATTCAGCAACTTCCCCACCAGCGTATCGACGTAGGAGATGGAGGCAAAATAACTCTGACGAATCTTCCGCTACAAAACGGTTTGCAAAGGGGAGGAAAGTGAGTTGTAGCCTGCTACGCCGTCAATTCAAGCAGCCCCCGAGAGGACTGGAAGGTGTTGTTGTTTTTTTTAGGAAGCAGATTCATTTACGCCTGCCTCTCTGCCCAAATTAAGCAAAGCAATGCCGTTAAAATGAGTTTTGCCCCATTTTATAATCTTTCTTACCACCCCTTGTTAAGTCAGTGGCCCGGTTGTTAAGTGAACTTGGCACCCCTACTGACTTTGCTTGTTGCAAGAAGCAATCCGGTGACCCCGGGACATTGCAACTGTCATAAATATATGCCAGTTGCCAAGCACTCCAATTTTGATCACGTGATCATGGGGACGCTTGCAACAGTCATAAGTACATGTCAGTTGCCAAACGTCCAAATTGTGATCACGTGACTCTAGGGACGCGGCAACGATCCTAAGTGTGAAAAACAGTCATAGGTTCCTTTTCTCAGTGCCGTTGTAACTTTGAATGGTCACTAAATGAACCGCTGTAAGTCGAGGGCTGCCTGTAAGAGAAAAACAGGAGACCGGCCACCCACCTGCCTATCCCACTGGCGTCTTTCAGAGCCAGACCCTCCATTTTCATCTAATGGAAATGTGACAGACGGCCTTTGCCAACTCTACCTGGAAGTGTTCTGGAATGGGCCCGTAAGGGAAGCTGATATTCAAGGCTGCCACATCCTCCCTCCGCCGTAGGTCCATCCAGGGATTGTAGGCCACGGAAGGAAGTCCTTTAGGAACTGCTGGATTGGGAGCCAAGGTGACGTTTTCCAAGGGATACAATTTGAGAAATTTCTAGAGAGAAGAGGTTAGGTTAGATTTGATTTGATTTGCTAACGAGTCTCTGTCCTTCAGGCTGGGCTCCGTTGCTTCTACAATAAATACAGATTTTCCTAGCAAGAGATATTTTCTTACATCTACTTCTTTTAACTAACCCTCCCACTTAGGCAACTCAACCAGTGAAAGTGTTATTCTACTCATGGAACCTCACCCAATTTAGATTTTTTTCCTCCCAGTTGTCGATGACTCTATGGAACACAAGGCTCGGAAGGATTGGATCTTGGGGAGAAATTTAGCCAGCCATAAAAATACAGGGAAGCCTCTATGATGTTATACGTTGCATCACTTTTGCCGATTGAAGATTGTGGACTTCAACTGCCAGAATTCCCCAGCCAGCTTGGCTGGCTGGGGAATTCTGGGAGTTGAAGTCCACACATCTTTTAAGTTGCCAAGGGTGAGAAACCCTGGTTTAGATCATCAACCAGCCAAGTCCTTTTGACTTCTTCAACGCCAACCTCTTCTTTCTTTTCAAGACCCTTCTAGGAGCGATCTTTTTGAAGACCCACCTAGGAGAAATGTCACTTACCCGAGGGTATCTGAATGGGATGTGGGGTTTATGATAGCCGACAGCCAGAAAAAACGTCCTCTTGATTCTCGTCAGAGTCTTCAACAAACGGACGGCTTCCTCGGTGCTCTGGATATCCGGCAAAGTAGCCTCGGGCATCTTGGCCACATCCACAGGACAGATCAAGTTGGCGTGAAGCTTTCCATCTTTCCCTTTGCAAACCTGGAAGGCAACGGGCAACCGTCATAAAGAAATCTGGTTGTTGGGCCAGGGCAAACTCAACAAGGCTAGAGAAAAGCAGTAAGAGGCAGGAGAGGTCAACTGCTACCCCCTCTCTACTACTCCTTACTCCTCTCTCTACTACTCCTTACCCCCTGTCTACTACTCCTTACTTCCAGCGGCGAAGGAATTGTCACCACTTCCTCAAATCAGTGGAGGAAAAGTCAACACTCAAGGTTGGCCCAGCAACAGGTTAAGAAAAAAAAAGACTTCGCCAGCCTCTCTTTTGATGATCTGTATTTAGAGTCTTTACTGCTTTTACATGTCAGCTGCCTTGAGTCATCGTGTTGTGAGTGGGCGGCAATATAAATTTTTCAATAAAATAAAATAAAAAAATAAAATAAAAATAAAAATAAAAATAAAA